CATTATCACATTATAAGCGTAAAAAGAGTCAACATATCTCAAAAGTACGTGCTACTGCATGTAAATCTCAACTTGCAGATTCGCAAAGCTTGAACGCAACCATTCAGGCAATGATTATGAAAGATAAGCGTTATTATACAACACAATTCATAAATATGACAGCTCAAGTATCACAAATTGGTCAAATATCATTTAGAAGTACAGTTCAAGCTATACAGTTAATCTTGGGTTTTTTAACTAGAGAAAGTTTATTTTTGCCGATTTCATCTAGATTAATTATTCGATAGAATCAAGAAATTAGTGAAATTCACATTGATCAAATTTTAAATAAAAATAATTTTTCTACCTTTTTTACTTTTGGAATAATGGTGGATAAGTCAACCCATGGTCAGCAAAAGATATTCGTACTATGCATCATATTCTAGAACTCAAAAACAAATTAGCCTGATTTTCAAGTATTAGAAATGAAAGACCTGGCAAATTGTACAGGAAAAACGGTAGCTCAAACGATGTACAATACTTTAAATTATTTTAAAATTAATCTGTATCAATGTTTAATATGTGTTTCAGACAATACAAACTATATTAGTGAAAAAGCTAGTGGTGCCAAAATAGTTCGAATACCCTGTAGACTTCATGTCGCACATATTATTATGAATAACTTTAAGGAAACTGCCTTTAGAAAGTTACCTAATATTAGTGGATTTTCACAAAAAAAACACCTAGCAAATCTCTTATACTTAGTCTGAGACCTTCATGATGGTTATAATAAGTCAGATAAAGATAAACCAATGGGTGTTCGTTCTGACTATATTTACAGGCTTTATAAAGAACGATTTCAATATCAAATGACAAAATATCAACAACCACTTTGATCAAGATGGCTTTATGAATTGATATGTGCTGAACAATATTTAGAGTGTAGAAGTATTCACATACAATTTGCAGAATGGTTTTTATTACAACTTAAAGCTCGAAATCATACGCCAAAGTCATATATTAAAAAATAAGAACTATTAAAAAAATGGTTTGGTGATCCAATTTTAAACTTGCAAGTTAAATTTTTAGTTCGATTTGGCAAAGACTTTTATTATCCAATGGCTAAATTTTTAACAAGATACGATCCTGAAGTATATGTACTTGACCAAACTTCTAAACCAACAAATCTTCCTTCTGGAAGGTGTGCACATCAAATGTCGAATTTTGTAACACGTACAATAACAAAGCTTCAAAATATCGTCAAGGACTCCTATTTGTTTTTTAAAGATAAATTGTTAGAAAGTACCAACATACTAAATAATTATCAACTTAATAAACTTATCTTAGATGTTGAACGTGGTGCTCAGAAAGCATTAGAACTTCACCAAAAATGGTTGAATTGTTGGTTGCATTTGCCATTAAGTATCTGTCGCTTGGGTGGAAAATATGGATGGGAGTTTGCACGAAGCTATGCTTATATTATTTTAAAAACACCTTTATTATCAGTACCTTCACTGCGGGAACTATGTTATATGAAACTCATTGAGCTAGACATTGAAAATGGCAACTTTAATGACTTTGGTCTATTCGATGCATTAAAAGATCTGATCTTTAATTATGAATTTCACCAATTCATTCAAGAAAAGCAAAAGCCTTTAAATCAGTTTCCCAAGTTATTGGAATTTGTCAAATACCGAATTTGGTATATCATGATTCATCAACAACAGGTCAAAGGTCTCTTCAATAAATGGGATCTCAAGACTCATACGAACATGACAAGTAACCTTCAACAATCAAAACTACGATTATCAAATGTACCACTTAAAGAAATTGGCTGTAACTCTGTGGACTTAGTGGAACTAAGAGCTGAAAAACGTCAGCAATTGAAATCTATACACAAACAAAATTTGGAACAAGAAAACTTTAAGGATGACGAATGTGAAAAAAGAGCGAATCTTTTATTTGAAAATTTATTCTGCAAAAAATAAAATTTTAATTTCATTTACGTTGAATTTGCATATTAGCGTTATTATTATTGTTGTCGAATTTGAATAAAAAATTGATTGTCATTTGTGTAACATAAAAATCTGTGATATGTAAAATTACATAGTTTGCTAACATAGTTTGCTAACATAGTTTGCTAACATAGTTTGCTAACATAGTTTGCTAACATAGTTTGCTAACATAGTTTGCTAACATAGTTTTGATTACTTAGTTGATGTCTCACCCTAATGACTGATACTGATCGGCCGCTTACGCGGCCGATCAGTATCAGTCATGTATTTCCGTTATCATTGCCTGGGACCAATCCACTAATACCCAACGACCCAAGATATTATTATTACAAATACGACAAAAAAAGACTGATATGATTTTCAAAAAGTAACTTTACTTATTGGAACTACATACCTTATTTTTGCAAGTAATACCCCCAAAAGGAAAGATATAGATTTAAATGTTAGGGCATTAGTTTGGAACAGTCTGTTACTTCCTATACTTAAAATTTTTATTTCCGATATTTTTAATTAGTGCTCCAAATCAGTTTAAAATATTAATTTTCGAGTATATATTTTGTTTTATTATCATGAAATCCATGCCGATTGGTTACTTTACCTTGTATAATATTAAAAATTTGCGGTTCCCAAAAGTGCCACAACTTTTTTTTAAAACATAATGCAGTAATATAGTTTGTTTATATGTTCAACAAGGCTTTAGCTTCTTTGATCCGATTCTGATCCTAAAAACTTTAAAACTTTTACTAGCAGTATTGTAAAAATACATAAAATTGAAAGATTTCGTAACTTTTTGAATCAGTCTGCAGGTAACTTATTTATGCACTTTAAAGCATTTTTTTTTAAGAACGTAATACTTATTGCTAATAAATACAAATCTTATTTCATAATAATATTAATGCTAAATTATGTTAATTAGATACGCAAATATCAAAATTAGTCGACTAAAAAAGATGTCAAAATATTATAGGTAAGCTTTGAAAGAATTTTAATATTACTATGCATATCGTTAAACGAATTAATTTTTATATTTTGTGAGTGTTTAATTAATTTTATAGAAATTAAATAATATAGACTAAAGATTGTAATATGCTTTTAAAAAATAGATAGCATAAAAGTAGAATAGAACTATCTAAATATAATTAATAAAAAATATTATTATTACTATCGTTATTATTGGTTACTAATCAACACATTACGCATATATCAGTCCAATTTTTTTCAAGTGGTTGTACGTACAATATTGAGAGTTTAAATTCCGACATTGGCTTAGATTATATGATTATGAATAATTTATTAGCAATCAGTTTATGTTAAATATTAGCGATAATACGAATTTATTTAATTTGTTACTTGTACGATACATTTATTATCGATAAATTAAAATATTGTACGTATTTGATTAACGCGAAACTTGTAACTAGATATTTAAATAAGGACGAGTTTTTTTTTGTTCAATTAATACATATTACAAAGCAAAATGCTGCATATTTAATATTTAATATGATCATAATAAATTTTTTATTGCCGGTATTGTTTCGTAAATTGTTAATATATAATAAAAAATTTACTATTATTTTCGTAACTATTTAATGTGTAATAATATTTACTGCGGATTAGCCTGACGGTGTAAGGCAGTATTGGGAAAATTACTATGTCCAATTGTTTTCAAAGTTAATTGGACATATGTCCAAAACCAATTGGACATATG